ATTTCTTTATGTTTGCAGATTGAAATTGTTCATTGAAGGAGGATAGAAGTTGGATACAGACTGATGCCTACAAATTATGCATCATTTTTTCTGGTGAATATTATGCAGTAGAGGAGTTTCCTTTATAATATGTTATATATGTAATGAAGCTATATATTTTTATGGACAAATTAAAAATGAATGCATGCTCAAGCAATATATATAGATATATTGTTTGAATACAGTTTTAATTACCTCATACATGCATGCATGTGTGTGCGTGAGAGAGAGAGAGAGAGTTGACTGCTCCATTTGGTACCATTACATGTCTGGCTGACTCAGTCGATGTGCATGCATGTGCAACTTAATAGGCAACTTCATGGCTTTCATCATCAACTTATTATTATTCTATTGAAATAAAGGTTGGGTGGATTTATAATTAATTGAGTGTACAATTGAAAGAGCTTTCCATCATATTATGATAATACATGTTGGACGTTTATGTGGTTAAGTGCGGTTAAACGCTACTTTTTTATTAGGATGAGATAGGTAAAACAAGACCGACAAAAATCGAGAAGGTGAGACAACTAAAAAAACAAAAAAACACAAAGGGAGAGAGGATAACAACCCATCGAATTGACGGATTTTGATAGTTATATTTACTTCTAATTTTACCTATTTTATCTTTTATAAAATAATTATTTCCATCGACATATTTTCTCCAAAATTAACTTCTAAATAAAACAAAAAGGCTAAATAGCACAATACCCCCTATCTATTGGCCAAACTTTCAAAAACTCCCATGCCTTTTGGAAATAGCACAAAACGTCCCTGTGCTCGTCAATTCTCTTAATTAAAAAAAGAAAAAAAAAAGTAAAATTACCAACATACCCTCCCATTTAAATAGAACAAAAAGAAAGAATAAAAAAATAAAAGGGAAAATTGTAACGAAGGTCCCAAACCTTTCAATTTGTTGTAAAATATACATTAACCTTTTAAAGTCACAGTCCCAAACCTTTCACTTTAGCTGTAGCGGGAGTCCAATTGATAGATTCCATCTAATATAATGTTAATCAACCATGAAATAGATGCTTGACTCAAATTGACAAATTAAATTTGGGGTAAATTAATAAATTTATTTTTTTATAATAAAATAATTTAAATAATTAGATGAAAAAAATGAAAATGAACTCCGTTCATCTTCTCTTCCCAACCCCAAAATCCAAAACTAGAAAACCAAGTCGCCGCCGTCGCCACATCTACAAGATGCAGCACGCCCATCGCCGCCACCTTAAACTGCCACACCACTGTAGCCAAACTTCGTTCGCATTAACACAGATTCAACAAAATTCCAGCAAAATATCAAAACCCAGTAACCAGATTTCAAAATCCCCATCTAATAATCAAAGGGCTTGGATGTAGTATACACATTTCAAAAAAAAGAAAAGAAAAGAAAATGCATTATGAAGAAAAGAACTCCAATTCACAGAGTATATAACTAGAATATTTTATCAATCAATAGACAAAAACAAATCAAGAGAGAAATGATAATCAATTTTTTTTTTCTTTTCTTATTGTTTTATTTGAATGGTATGATATATTCGTTATTTCACAATTTTTTTATTGAGAAAATGGATGGTAGGTGGTATTTTACACTAAACGTTTGAAACGTTGACGTTTTCTGCTATTTTCAAAAGATAAGAAGATTTTCGACGGTTTAACCAATAGACAGGGGAGTATTGTGATGTTTAACCAAATAAAAATATCTGAAGTAAAAAACTATTTATAAATAAAAAAATTTATATTATAATATAAAAAATACTTATAAGTAAAATATTACTTATAAGATAAAAAATATTATAATTAAAAATTGCTTATAAGTAAAAAAATCACTTTTATGTAAAAAAAATTGTTAATAAAATAAAAATACAACTAATGAGACAAAAATTCGCTTATAAAATATGAAAAAATTACTTATAAGTAAAAATTTACTTTATAATTATTTAAATTGTAATATTAACTTATAATTGTAAAACTTATTTAAAAGTAAAAAATATTAACTTAAAATTTTAAATAAATATTTAATTTTTAAATTTAAATATTAACATATATGTAAAAAAATTATCTATAAGTAAAATATCACTTATGAGAAAAAATTCATATAAAAAACTATAAATTGAAAATTTTGTTAAGAGACATATTTAATTTTATTATTTTAATTTTTTTCGAACTGATGGATAATAAACTCTCAAATATAAGTTTGATAGCTTTAAAAATTGCTACTAAAACCACTCAAAATCAATCCACTCATAAAAGCCCAAAATTGGTATTCTAAAAAACGCTCATAACTAGTATGTCGAAACTCCCAAGCGAGCCTTAAGGATTTTTTCAATAACTAGTCAGAGTTGAACGTGTAATACACGTTATTCTGAAATACTTTATAAGTACTATAAAAATAATATTTAATACAAATTTGTTGGGAGGATTGATAAGTCTCAAACGAACTAAAGAAAATAAAATTTAGGATAGAAATTTAAGAAAAAAATTGTACTTTCATAACTCAACTTATATAATTCAAATTTTTTGTGATGATGAAATATTACAAATGAGCAATATTTTTATATTACATTTGGTATATAAGAATTAATTGATAATAAATGAATTTAAACACCAATTAAAATTCATAAATACATGAATAGAAATAAATTTATCTATAATAACTCTAGATTCATATAAATCAAGATTCATCAAGTCACATTCATTGAGTCTTGGTTAATGTCAATGTCAATGTTAATTAATTGAAAATTAATAACACGAAATTCATACACGACAAGGATTTTGCAGTATTTATTACATATTGAAAAACGAAAAATAAGGTATTATTGAAATAATTAAATTGTTGTAGAGTTAAAATCGTCCAAAAAATAAATTTCACTTGATGTGATATTTAATATATTATAGATGAGGACCTCCACGGAGTTGTGATCCCTCATGGCAGATGACCTCTTGAAATTGGAATTCTCTATCTAATGAATGTAAAGTTTGCTTTAAAATTGTTCGCCCTATCATTGTGGTAATGGTGGCCTATTTATTAGTATGAGAGATGCTTGAAGTACATGGACATTTTTCACAAGTCCCTGTTAGGTAAGAAACAAAGGTGGGGCTTGCAAATTTTTATTTTTTAAAAAATACATATGGGACCCGCCTACACAGTGAGGGGCCTGTAAGGCCCCCGTGAAAGTTGCACCTGTACGTGCAGCTTTATTCTTATTAGCATAATCACCTTAAAAGTGATGGCATCACCATGTCAATTCCGGGTAAGCCACCTTTGGAAAATAACTAACGTTGGACAAATTTTATTGAACATGACACATTTTTTCTTCAGTAATGTGAAAGGTGTTCATTCAATATTACTGTTGGGTTTTGATTAGTGTTCTAAAATGCGTAATGCGTAATGCGTGGAGGCCAAACACAGGGCTAGGCGAGCTTAGACGAAACATATGCGAAAAAAAACGTATAAAGACATTTTAATATTATTTTAATTTTTAATCAATTAAAAATAATACTTACTAAATATTTAAACATAGATTTATAGGAATTTTATACATTTTTTCAAAGTTTCCAACAAAAATATAAGTTTCAAATTTAAATACAAAATAGTAAGTAAATAATAAGAAATTATCTACCGTAAATAAGATTCGCTGGTCACTTGACTTTTGGGTTCAAATGATTGTTTTAATTTTAAATTAGGGCAACCTGAAGAAATTAGCATTTAATAATTTTTAAGTTCAAAAGAATTGTAAAAAAAAAAATATGTGAACACTGTCGTTGACCGTCAAATAAGACGTTAACCCATTTGGCTTGGCCTTTTGGTCTCGCCTCACGCCTAGGAGCGCTTAGGTGGCCTTCTAAGCTCGCCTGTTAGAACACTGATTTTGATACCCAGTAAATTTGCACAATGATGTTAAACCGTGTTTTGTATTTGATTGCCTCATAAACCTTCAGCCGATGAGTGAAGTGTCAATACCACAATCGAACAAACCATTACTACAACCTATTTGGGCAATTGGTAGTAGCCTAATTTCATTAGTGTTGCTCATGGTTCGACCAATTACCTTGGACGGCTTGTTGTTTGATAACCCATTTACTTGGTACCTTTTGGGCCTTATTATTTCCTATTGGGCGTAACCCTAAAAGCGTATATCCAACCTTTATATATATGTGCCCCATTCCTGTTGTTAAGTGGTGTGAGTGAATTGATTGGGCAGCCTTGTAGAGAAGAGAGGAGAGAAGTGAGGGTCGATTGGCTGGGTGCTTTCCCTTTGGCTTTGTGCCATCTTCTTCTCCCTTTCTCTTAGACTTTGTGGTTGGTTATTGTGCCTTGAATATTCATCACCTGTTGCCCTTTGTGGGTAGTCAAGAAAGCAACCGGAGTGGGAAGATTGGTTGGGAGAATTGGTTGTGATTGTGGTGTCGATTGGGTTGAAATGAGCTTGGTTTTGGTGTGATTGGAGGCCAATAATCAACAATTAAAATTTTTATTTTTTATTTTTAATTGTGATTCACCCTCAATATGAAAATCATGTCTACTTGTCATTGGAGATTAAAAATGAGATTACAATTTTACGGGGTCTTTCTTACACCTCTTACGGCTAATTAGTATAAAAACGGCCTTCTCAATCTCGATCCCCATTATTATATAGTGTAAAGAAACTAGGCTGACATAACAAATGAATATAAATGTTCAATATATTCCTATAATAATAAAGAAATTGATATCGTCTCGATCAAGAGAATAAGTGAATAGTATAATTACTGCCCATACAATTCAATAAGTATGATTTCTGCATCAAAAGCCATTCTCTCACTACAGAGAACAGCCTGCTTCCACAAACAATGTATTCATCAATCTTAACGTCAAGACATCATTTTCTTCCTAACAATATCCGAAGTTTATTGTTTTTAGTTGGAAATTTCGTCACTTACCTAAACCAGGAATTAATTTCAATCTCAGCTCTTCAATGCCGAGTCCCTCGATCCCACGTCCAAAATCAGCCCCCGACATCAACAGTCCTCCTTCTCCCTCGAACTCCTTTCTACCTTCTTCAACTAAGTCCATGCGCTCTTCTCGCTCAGCCGGCTCACCAATCACTCCCTGGCAAAAGAAACTTGCTGACTACATCGTAAAAAAGAAAAATTCAAACCTAACTGCGCAGAATCTCGAGGAGTTCAATAAAAGTCTAGAGGCAAGATATTCTACCAGCAGTCCTTATTACAAGGGACTAACAGACTTTTCCTTGGTAATCAATAGGGAAAAGTACTCGGGGTCAAGTCCTGGGAGAGAGAGTAATGCAACAAGTTTCGTCAGTTCTGGTTCCAAATCCAGTTTTGTCCTCAAGGTGCAAGAATGGGGTTCTTCTTGCTTTACCAGCTCAAGAAAGCTCGATAAGACATCGTCATCATCATCATCGTTTGGTTCTTCTTCGACCAAGAGTTCCCATGACATTCGTGCAGCAAAAATCAGAGAAACGGGCATGATGATTACAAAAATTAGAACCACAACAACAAAAGATGATCATGAATCAGACTCTGACAGGAAAAGAGTTACCTTTCATTCCATCAACAGCACATATGATACTATCACTTCATCAACTAAGGAGAAGCCATTGAGGGAGAGAGATTCAGAAAAATCATCTGTGCCTACTGGATTGCATACAGGATCATTACCATATTCGCCACCACAACAAATTCCTTCACAAGAACTATCGTTGCCAGCTCCAATACCGCTACCACGTGTACTCTTACCTGCACAACCACCAATTTTGACTCCACCTTCAGCACTAACTCAAACTACTGATGCTGAAGTGGTTTTCTTAAAGAATAAGGATACACGTACAACAGAAAATGAGAGAAAATATGTATGGGCAGACAAATATAGGCCTTCTTGCCTGCAAGATTTTCTGTGCAATCGGGAAAAAGCACTCTGGCTGCAGACAACAGTGAGAAATTGGCAATATAGAACAGAAGAATGTGGTCACTTAATATTTGAAGGACACCCAGGTGTGGGAAAGAAAACCATGATCTGGGCTTTGCTTAAAGAAGCCTTTGGAGCTGACAAAGTACAGGTACAATCGATCTATTAAATATATTTATCTTCAACAAATTATGAAATTAGCACTCTTGATTACCTCAAGTTTCAAGGACTATATGCACATAATGTTCGTTATTTCATATCACATCGAAAATTTCTAATCCAAGATTGATGCACTGAAATCCCTTTCAAACACACAGATTTACATATTTGATAGCTTTTATTTATCATCCGCAGGCTAGAGAAGAATGCAAGGAATTCAACTTGAAGGTAAACCCTCTACATTTTCATAGATCTAAACTAGTCTTGTCAAATTTTTGCAGGTACATCCATCATTCATAAAACTAAAATATTGATTGTAAAATAGTGTTTGCACAATATTACTTAAAGAGTATAAGGTCACAGGGGACACGATCGACCAACTACTGACCTGTGACGCATTTCAATGGGAGAATATAAATAGCCGACATATAACAAAAGTATTCACATTTGAATGCAAAATCAGAAAGTTGATCTACATGAGATGTGTAAGGCTGTTGTCTGAACTCTTAAGATGCAATTACAAACACTTGCTTTCATCATGGAAAACTATACTATAGATGGGGTGAAGTAGAAAAGTGCAAGTTCATGAACTCTTCACACATTCCGTGCTTCTCAGATTGGAGGCACACCAGACTGGTAGAGTTTTCAACTCGTTCACAGACCAGATTCAAAATTAAGGAGAAGGAAATAACACCTAAAATGCATATCAGCACTAATAAATTTCTCTAAATGTGTAGAAAATGTGACCAGAATTTTACCCCAAACAATTCATCAATACAGGGAGAAGCAGTAGGTAGCATCTTAGTAAAGTTGATGGTATCTACACAACACATTGAAGTCAATCTCTCTGAACTGAAAGGCTACGAGAAACATATCATTGTCGAACTAATCAAGGAGAAAAGTAGCGAGTCTGATAAGTCTTTTCAGTGCAATCAAGAGAACTGTAAAGGTATAGTATAATTTATGCAACTATTATTACTTCATAGACAAGCCAAACTGAAATGACCTGCATGTTATATTAATATGCTGATCCATGCAGTAATCATTCTACACGAGGCAGACAAGCTATCTACTGATGCCCTGATATACATCAAATGGGTATTAGAGAGGTTTAAAGGGTGTAGTAAGGTATTATTTTGCTGCAGTGACATCTCAAAACTACTGCCTGTAAAGTCACTTTGCACCGTTGTTCAACTTCTCGAACCTTCTAATGAAGAGGTAACAATCTGGTATTTAGTTTAGAATCTCAAGTTCAGCACCTCACTTGTACCCTTGTCTTGGTTGAGATTAAGTCTCACTCTCTCTATTTCTGCATTTTTATTTTTTTTGTCTTTTATAGATTGTTGAAGTTTTGGAATTCATAGCAAAACGAGAATGCATACAGCTACCCCATCAGTTGGCCGTTAAGATTGCTAACAGCTCCAAGAATAACCTAAGACAAGCCATACGCTCATTTGAAGCTACCTGGCAATTCAAGTATATAAATATATTTTTTAGCAACTGGTGCAGTAGATTTTATATTTCTCCAGCAACTTTCTTCTTCCTACACCTCATTTGTACAATGATGTGGTTGCAGTCCATCCTTGAAGGAAGATCAGGATATCAAGATTGGATGGGAAGATAAAATTGCGAAACTGGCAAAAAACATAATAGAAGAGCAAAGTCCCATGCAGTAAGTTGTCAATTCTTAAGCATTCTGAAGATAAATGTCAAAAAATATTTCCCCGACTTCAAAATGTCAGTTCTACTATTAACTGCTGAATCAGATTTAGCTTCACTCAGATCTAATAGCAAGGACCTTTATGCTTCCACAGGCTTTATAATATCCGTGGAGAACTTCAAACTCTAATAGAGCACAAAGTGGCTCCTGAGTTCATATTCAAAGTAAGAACATCCTAGTCCTTTGTGTCTTCGCTCAAATATTAAATTTCTACTAACTAATTATGTTTATGCAGACCCTAGTGGAAGAACTGAAAAAGAATGTCGACTACCACTTACAGCCAAAACTGGACAATTTATATGATGAGTACCAAGTATAAACTTCAATTAATCAATTATTTCTTTGAAATTCCATTGTATACTTGTTAGCAATCGAAACAAACAAAACATGAATGGCTTACGAACTTTCTTTACCCAGAGACATCATAGGAGTAAGCAACTTATGTCCTTTGCACAGAATCAACAAGAGGAACTCGGCAAAAGACAAAATGATCCAAGAAATAATGTCCATCAATTCATGAGGATTGAAGGTAAGAAAAACATCAACGAGGCAATCTTAGAAAATGAAAGCAATGCTACTTTCATCATTCAACCAATGTTCAACCAAAAGAAAAGATGCACAAATAAGACAGGAATTTCTCTTGGGTTCTCTTTGTTATCCAGTTTACATAACTGAATCTAAACATCAGGTGCATAAGTAATTTAAACATAAAAATATCATGACTTCTTTCATTATTATTTCTCTCTAGATCTTTAGGACTCTGCTGCTTTACCACCTCTAAAGCTGGAAGATTGCATCTCAGTTTAATAAATACAACGTGTACTACGAGTATAACAGTCCAACCTCGTGCATATACAGTGAGATATACGAAATCCACAATAGGGAACAAAATATTTGTAGAGAATCAAATTCATGAAAGACAAGCAAAGCAGAAGTTCCAAGAAAACATATTTTGATGACCATTCTACTTAGGTTGAACAGAACCTACCGGGGCAAGGTTATATGTCCAAAAATTAATGTTCAAATCGTGAAATTTGAAGAATTTTCGGAGGATAGCACTATGGTTTGGTTTCATGCTTAAGCAAAAGAAGGTCATGACTAAAGAATTAATACTGATGTAGGAGTGCGTTGCTATATTTAAAGACAGATAGATCATATGAAAGAGGAGCTTTCGAAAGAGCGAGAATTCAAGAACCTCCTCAACCAGTACTAAAATGAGCTATATGAATGTCCATTTAGTTTAGATACTACTGTGTTAAGTCTTGACTTTGCAAATGTTTGCATCAGTAGAATCAAGAATGAGGATTTGCATTAATTTTTCCAGGTAATTTTTTTATTTATTTACTTGGTCATACAAAAACACGACGAAGTTGTTCGAGCATCTCATATCTTGACATTCTGTTGGTGATCTAGTTTTCGGCAATCAGCACATATTCCTTGTATTCAAGTCAGAAAAGGTGGTCTTCATTCTATTTATTCAAGAATACCAATTACCGTAACTGACTAATATAATGCATAATTGAAAAACTAATTCTGCATTACGTTCATCAAGCTAGTCAGAAACTAAATGCACTCACACATCCTCTTATGAAACACAGGTCATATATACTTATCTAACGATATGGGATTCACTCTCTTCATTCCTTCTGCAGAGTTTATAGCAAAATTCATGACTTTGTACAAGGGCTTAATTTTAAAGAACAAGAAGGTTGAAGCTACTTGATGGACTTGTTTGCCACTTCTTCACAGAGATATTCAAGTATTTCCAGACAATGCTTTGTTGTACGAGTTTCGACTCATAAACTTAATCATTCAGTTAAATAATAAAGTAGAGAAACTAGCAATACACAAGAAGTTTACAGGGTGTAAGCTTCTTCAGGATGCTGTCCTTTACAATCAGCAAAAATATACTACTCCAAATACTTGGCAGACTTATATAAATGTTTCTCCTCCTTCAACTGTTGTTACTTTAAAGAACTAAATTTTCTACCCTCTTATGCATAGGGTATGAATGTTCTATAACGAATACATAATCAGGTACTTTTTGTGAAAATTACTATGTTACAGAAGTCATTAAGGTTAAGGGAGCAATTTGTCACAACAACCACCTTTCATGGAAGTTCTTAGAAACCCACACTCCGTCCCTCTTACAGCTTGAAGTGCTAGACCTTTGAGATGAAGAAGGCAACAGTTGAAAAAGACCCACCCACCCTCAGTTTCTATGAGGAGAAAGGGAACCTAGCACCAAGAGCATCATTCAACTTCAATTCTAGGGATAAATTAATTAGTGATGATGGTTAGGCAAGCATGATCCTCATTTAACGACTCACACTTGTTGAGGCACATACTTGGCTAATTCTGATGTTTTGCTGTAAGGACAACAGCGGTATCTCCATGACTGAGGTAACTTATAGTGCAGAGTGCATGAAGATGACAATTCAAAGACCAGTCAGTTCAATTTGCTATTCTTCATTCCTTTGATAGAAAGGCATTCTATGGATCCAATATGTTGCAAAAAGGAAGAATCCATCCATCAAAATAGTGTTCTATGGATCCAATGAGCAATAGACTATAGTGTTGTTTTTATATGTAAAGCATGCAGTAACCATCATATGAAAGATTTAGACATAGTAAACTATACCTAACACACAAGTATCATTGAAAACTGCAATTTGGCTTTATGAAACAGATAAAAAATTTAATGCAGTGTGTTCTATTCTCATACCAGCATTTACGCAAGAACAAAACCTCCTTATAGAATGTTTGGCTTGAGAGCATAGCATATTGATAAACAAAATTTTAATTCAACCATTAACTGTAATGGAAACACAATTTACACGAGCAAACACTCAGATTCAAGCCTTCATAGAACAGACCAAATGTTCTGGTTTTCATGTCACTGCCAAGGAAAGAATTTGCTCCTAACTCTTTAGGCAACATTGCTCAGCATTTTCATGGAACAAAGCTTCAATTCATTAGGAGAAGAAAAAAAATGCAGTTTATACTACAGTTTTAAACCATTTTAATTACTGAAAGCAATTGATTCAAAGTTCAAACACCACTCGTCTAATTACTGTCATTTTACTATCCAGCGGAGCACAATATGCTTTTAGGGGAAAGCTATGTAGATTAATCTGTCTGAACAGAAATAATTAATAATGAATATCTATCACGGTAAATTTCAGCAAAAATTAATTATAAAATTTTAGTTTATGGTTTTGAGTCAAAATTTATCTGAGTCTTTTCATTCATGATACAGTTCAGAGACCTCCACAATATAAACCTCCAGAGGACATAGCTCGCACAAAATAACATATAAATTATGCATGAATTTCGTTGTCGTGCCAATTTGACAAATGCAATTTCTGACTTGAAAATTCACTAATCTGAAATAATATAAAGTAAGAAAAGATCAATAACTAAAGATTGTAGCACTAGTAAAAAATGAAGACAAAGAGCAAAATATTATTAATAAGAACAATCAAGTAGCAGAAGAAATATAAATTTGTATTAGTGGAACCACGAAAGTCTACGTTATTAAAAATCATAATAAAAGCTTTAAAAGTAATTAGCATGATAGAATCAATCAAGAAAAAACAAAAGAAAGTTATATCTATCTGTGACAATGTTGTAAGAGTTCCATTGAAGGTGATCTGAGTAGACGACATCATCTGATATTGCCTCCAAGTGGAGCAGATATAACAAAAGGATTCAATTCTGTAAGCAAGAAAGGAGTCTGAAAACAATTTCAAATTGCTCGACTGGATGGCATTTGTCTTTATTTCACACATTCTAGCACAGTCATAAACCATGGATGCATTAGATTGAACACGTTCTCAAGTCTATATTCTCAGCCTACGATCCAAACCCTGCAGGCAATAACAGACCTCTTGGTGTACTGAGACAGCATCTCCCGTTGTTTCTTAATCCAAATACTCAATTGGTTTTATTTTATATGTAAATGTGGCAACACCAGTGTAATAAATCCAGAAGAATGCCTTCCCAGAACCCAAGAATAAATCACGCCGAACTCAAACTAGAAAAGTGAACTAATCAAAAACAGAACAGAAAGAAAACTCATAAATGCACAAAATGATTTTACAAAGCGCACATCCTCCACGAGAGGGTAACTTTTGTTTTTATTGAATTGCAGATTATGGAATACACCAAGTTTCTTCAATTGTTTTCTTTCTCTCAATAGGGAGAAAATACAAAAAGAGGAAGTTAGCTATTGTTTCTACAAGACAATGCAGCTTCTGTTATAAATTTTACTGTTTGTTATTTGCAAGTTAAAGACTCAATCTGGGTTTATTGTTGCAAGCAAATGAAGGTTTACCTAGACTTCAGTTGTATTGGCAATTCTTTAAACAAAATGATTTTTGTAAAAGAATAGAATTGTTACAAAAGAATTGTAAAAGTCAATGAGTCTTTTGGAGGGTTGTACAGATGAATTAGAAGTCTTTGAGTTCGAGTATGGAACAAGATAAAAGAGTTGCTAGATTTACGCTAACTTGTCGCCTATCTGATGCTCGAGCGTCTAAAGTAGAATCATTGTCGCCCGGCTCTCTCGCTCACTTTTCGCTAACAGGCGCTTGAGCGACGGCGTTTTTCGAGAAACCTTAATTTTTGTTTTTCAAGAGTTTTATCAATCCAATACTACCTAAACACCTCATATTATAAATACTCAATGCCCAGTACCTTTTTGGTGGTGGTTGATCATTGTTTTATATCCTTATATCATTATTCCAAAATCCAAAAAATACGTCCAAATATTTAGATTAACCTTTTGATTCTTGAGATTAATCAACCACAAGTTTGGGAAAAATATCCAATTCTTTCCAGATTTTGAAACTTTCACCAAAGATTATATTTTATATTTTCTTTGAAACTTTTACCATGCACATAGAAGTGTAAACATGTAATTCATGTAATTGAATTATTTCCTTGTGCCATTGATTTATTTAAACAAATCAAAATTAGCGGGTGGACATGGGTAGCCTTACTAAAATAAGGCAAAGGAAATACATAAATCTAAACAGCAAAGACATAAACTGAACAGCCACCATATGCACAAGAACAGGTCGATCCATCTAAACCATTAACCGATTTCCGGGTTCATCATGTAAAATTGTCAGACACATTTAGTTTTACTTTCTTTCCAATTTTCTTGTCCACTTCCAAATTAATGAAAATTCATTTCACTTAATCACCATTTAAATAACAAGAACATGTATAAGGAAAGAACATATACATGGTCGTGCAGAGACGAGAGTACTAAACATGTATCAATAATTTATGTTCCTACCGTCCATGAGAATGAATTATTCAATAAATCCGGTATATCAATTATACATATAAAATATACATATAGGCATGCAATCTCATGTTGTGATTGCTTATAACATACTGCATATAAAGTGCCGAGAATGTGCGTGATAGAGATTTCCAAATTCTAAACAAATTAGAATATAAATGCACACATTAAAAACAAAGTTCATTTTAAAATTTTTGGAGATATTACACCGATAATGTGCATATTATATTCAAATCAACACGTACATTTTTATACTCATGAAATCAAAATAGAATTCGACTTACCANTTTTTATGCTCATGAAATCAAAATAGAATTCGACTTACTAATATGAGATTTGAGAAGACAAGCAATAATTATTGAAGTTGAACACGTGTCAATGGATGTTGTTGGATAAGCTTCACTAATTGTGTATCGAATATACAGAATAGATACCGTATTAGTGAATTTTACTTAAAGCGTGGGCACGCCTTACTGAATTGAAATTCTGCCATAAGTTTTTACTTAAGGCGTGGGTACGCCTTACTGCATTGAAATTCTATCATAAGTGGATACTTCGAATATAATAATCCTTAAGATGAGTTTGCCCCGCATCGGTGCTAACGGTTTCTAGCAATCATCTCCCAAGATACAATGACTACGTCAAGCCATACGAGCACTCCAAATGGCTTCGACCAACGAACTCGAACGAAATTCTCTCTCTACCATAACCATGATTTTGATGCAAGTATTTTATGCAACCTATATTGTAAGCATGGAATGGAATGATATGTGAACTATCGCTTTGAACTATAAGAATCCAAACACATGGGAATCTTTATATAATAGTTGGAAAATTTTTTCAAAAGACAACCATACCAAGAGGTACATCTCTTGAAATTAAGATTCATAATTATTGGGAAGTAATCATATCAAGAGTCATGATTTTCAAAGGTCATGATCTTTTATGTGAAAAGACACATCTTTTCATCTACACATTTTTCTAGAATATTCAACAATATTCTACACGATTTTCCAACAATTTTACTTGTTTGTTAGGCTTAATTTCTCATTCACCAAAAAACGAATTAGTGAAAAGACACATCTTTTCATCTACACATTTTTCTAGAATATTCCACAATATTCTATACGATTTTCCAACAATTTCACTTGTTTAATAGGCTTAATTTCTCATTCACCAAAAAACGAATTCCACTTAAATAATCACTTAAATTGGCCACAACCAATTTCGAATTTCCAACAAATAATTCTATTCATTTTACAAGAGTGGTATCAGAGTTATTCCTTTAAAATGGAGAGAGAGAAATATGTGAGGAAGAGACTGAACATCTACAATAGCAGCAAACAACAAAAACCTAATTTTTTATTTCATTGTTGTATTTTTGCAGGAATAGCAGTGCACGAATAGCT